CCCCCGGGACACCGCCCCCACCTGCCCAGCCCCCGGCCCCCCAGCGCAGCCCGGTCCCGGGGCGCCAGCCGGCCTGGGGTTCGCTCCGGGGGGAGGGGACTTTCGGGGGTACCGGGCGGGGGAGTCGCGAGCCAGAGGGGAGGGGGCCGCGGGTTTTCATGTGGCCAGAATGAGCTCCTACTTCGTCAACCCCCTGTTCTCCAAATACAAAGGCGGCGAGTCCCTGGAGCCGGCCTACTACGACTGCCGGTTCCCCCAGAGCGTGGGCAGGAGCCACGCGCTGGTGTACGGGCCCGGCGGCTCGGCGCCCGGCTTCCAGCACGCCTCGCACCACGTCCAGGACTTCTTCCACCACGGCACCTCCGGCATCTCCAACTCGGGCTACCAGCAGAATCCCTGCTCGCTGAGCTGCCACGGGGACGCCTCCAAATTCTATGGCTACGAGGCGCTCCCCAGACAGTCCCTTTATGGGGCTCAGCAAGAGGCGAGCGTGGTGCAATACCCCGACTGTAAATCCTCCGCCAACACTAACAGTAGCGAAGGACAAGGCCACTTAAATCAAAACTCGTCTCCCAGCCTCATGTTTCCATGGATGAGACCCCACGGTGAGAAGCCTTTTCTCTTTCCCCTTGGTCTCCCGCGCTCCGGGGTCTCCCCCTCCCTCGCTTCCTTTTTGTCTGCCCTGCTTTCCCTCCTGGCTTTGGGGGTCTCTCCTGCCCCACCCTTGCCGGAGTGGGTTGCTGAGCTCGGGAGGTTCTGCTGGGGGTGGGGCGCGGGGCTTGGCTGGGATCTTGGGGGGCTGGGGGATGTGGGGGAGAAGGGGTTTTCTAGGTGCAAAGGGTTAAAAATCCTTTTCTCCACCTCTGTCTGTCCCTCCGTGTCGCCTCCTTGCCATCTCTAAGTCAGACTTGGGGAGTTGGCTGGGGAGGGCCCCGAGTGCCCAGAGGTGATCAGACAGAGGGGCTCTGTCCAGGACAGTGGCCAGGCTTGGGGCCACTCTTGGGGGCACGGGGAGACCACTGTTTCCCTCCCTGAGCTGGGTCAGAGGGCGGCGAGACCCCAAGGACAGGTGCTCTAGCTCTCTGGGGTACCCACTGCCCCTTCTCAGAGAACTAGCCGCAGGGCCATACCCTAACTTTCCCTTACTTCTCTCCACGGCGGGGGAGAGGGGAGCCAGAGGGGAGGAAAGAGAGCTGCTGAGAGAGAGGCCACACAGACCAGGGCTCTGAGGTCAGAGGACCCCCAGACTCGGCCCCCCATCAAAGGCTTGTGGGGTCCCCCCAGACCCTCGGAGTGGCTCGGGATCCTAGGGCGGCCCCTCATGGCCCAATTTCGAAGTAAAAGGGGAAGAGAAAAAGCGACAAGTTCCAGCAAGGATGGTCCGTGATTTATTTGCTGGTCTCCAGTTAGCAATCAGGCCAAGCCAGTGATACATTCCAGGAGATCAATGACTTTTCTTACTAGAACAGCACTAGGCAGAAAGATCCAGAGAGGGACAAGAGCACAGTTCCTCTGGTTTTCACCCCCAGACCTTTTTCCTTTCTAGGAAGGAAGCCCGTGCCTAGCCCTGCTCCCCAAATGCCACTTTGCACTCATAAACAAAGCTGCAAGGGCCAGCTTCGGGGACTGCAGGCCTGGGGGTACTCTGCAGTGTTCCCCTGGCCCTGCAAGCTCCTAGTTTCCAGGGAGACCCCAGTCCCTGCCCCCGCCCCCACCCCACCCCACCTCCCAAGGTGAAGCCCAGCCAGACAGTCCCCCAAACTTTCCTCGGCCTCTGTCTGCTCTCCGCTCTTGCCCTTCCCCAGGAGGGAGGGAAACTGAGAGATCTGAGGGGGCCCTTGAGGGGGGAGAGAGGGACGGGGAGAGCCAAGCCCCCACCCAGACATAACCAGACTGGGGTTCTGTTCTGTCCAGCTCCTGGGCGGCGCAGTGGAAGGCAGACCTACAGCCGGTATCAGACCTTGGAACTAGAAAAGGAGTTTCTCTTTAATCCGTATTTGACACGGAAGCGCCGGATTGAAGTCTCTCATGCTCTGGGACTGACCGAGAGACAAGTGAAGATTTGGTTCCAGAACCGAAGGATGAAATGGAAAAAGGAGAACAACAAGGATAAACTGCCCGGAGCCAGAGATGAGGAGAAGGTGGAGGAAGAAGGAAACGAGGAAGAAGAGAAAGAAGAAGAGGAAAAGGAAGAAAACAAGGACTAAGCAAAAGAGAGGGACCCCCCCCCCAGCAAGTCCCTTGAAGTTTCGTTTTATGGTAGCGGATAAATTGAGAAGTTTACGACTGTCATTTGCTTTTATAGAGAATAGAATGACACTCACAACCCTAACTACCTGTCAGATAGTTGCAGCTCTGATTTTATTACCTTTGGACTTCCCCCGATCTTCATTTGTTTGGGGGCTGGAGGGGGAGACCCAGACACAGCGAAAAGTTTGGACTCTGTCTCAGTCCTGGCCCAGCTCACACCTGTCCCTCCCTGCCCTTCCAGCCCCTGCCAGGATTTGAAGGTCTGGGGCTTGGCTTCTTCACCCCTCACTCGGCCTCTTCTTGACACACTCCCACCTCCCTGCTTCTCTGGTATTTATTTTAGAGGGGAGCCCCTCAACTATGGAAGAAGACTCTCGTGGCTTTGTTGTTATGCTAGGATGAATGTTTTAGATTTACTGTCTTTCCAAAGGAATGGAAAAGTGAAGAAAGGAAAGAAAAGGGAAAATGTCTAGAGAGATTTCAAGCCACAACAGCAAACAAACCTGATAGCAAGAAATATTCCCGCTCCCTCCCTGGGGCGCCCCCTCAGAAAGACCCTTGATTTTCTCTGGGCCCTAGAAACCTGACAGAAGTGTGTCTCCCCTCTCCCTGCCCTCCCATAGAGTAGTTTGGAGCCTGCAGCCACTGCTAAATCCTACCTAAGCGCCCCACGGTCACTGAGCCCCTGCCTTCTCCCCTCTGTTATCTGCCTTGTGTGGCTGGGCCCAGCTTCCTCTGAGCTGCATTAGTGTGAGCGCCCAGAAATCCCCCTCATCATGAACAATGTAATAATAACAATGATAATGATAATACTGCTAATACATCTTTATACTACCTAAAGGGAACCTGCAATAATCGTGAAAAAAAGGAGTCATAAAAAAAATCCTACTAGGGAGAAAAAAAGAGAAAAAATTAAAAGAAAAAAAAAAAAAAGAAAGAAACCTCCACCGTATTTTATCACTACCTATAGAAGAAATCCTGCTTTGAGAGTTCTCGTAATGCGGTTTTGTTGTCGTTCGTTGCTGCTTATTTCACTAAGAAAAACCCAACAACTGAGACTGCCTAGCTCGCCGGTCCTGTGCGCTTTTATTGTGCTTCTGACCCCAGTAGAGTAGAACTAAATTGCACTGAATGTATAGTTAACTCTGTCTTGAATTCTCTGTTTATGCAATGTGCTCGAAAGAAAAAAAAATGTTAAAGATATATCTATAATAATAATTTTTGGTCATTTGTCTTTATGTCCAGCTATGAATGTAGATTTTGTGTCCGGCAGCCCTGTTCCTGGTCCAAGTACTTTGTATTGTATACGTGAGTCATAATAAAAAAGGAGAAAAAATAACCGAAGCTGGGATGACTGGCTTTCCCTCGACATTCCCTCCCCCACCCTGGTTCCCTACCCCCTCTGGCCCTGTAACCCTCTCTCAACACCTCGATAAAGGTCTCCACGGATCAGACTTTGGGCTGGGGGGCTCACGTGGAGAGGATAAGGGTGAGGAATGGACAGCAGCCGCCCCAGTGGGGCAGGTGATGGGGGAGGTGAGAGGGAGGTGAGCAATAGCTCTTGGGTGACCTGAGCCCCAGACAAAGTGGGTTTCTGGAAGGTGCAAGCACCCCACTGGGGCAAAAGCAGCTCCCACTGAACCACCTTCCTCCTCATCCCTGGGGTGGGCACAGACAAAGAATCTTCTCCCTGCCCTCCTGCTCCAGGCCCTTTCCTTCTGGGGACTGTTTGTTTCAGGCTAAAGTCCTGGGGTTCTCTCTGCTCTCCTTATGCACCCTAGGGCCAGCCACTGGCACACCAGCACCCAGTCCTGGAACAGTGGGACAGGGTAGGAGCCACGTGAATCTCAAGGCAGCTGGCTGGAAGATGCCTGGAGAGGGGAAGCTAAGGGTGCGGCTGTGATGGAGCTTAAGCCTTGGGGGGAGGGGGGAGGGGAAGGGGAGTGGGAGTGCAGCCCAGGGCCACTTTCTAAAATTCGAGTTTGGCAGGGACAGAGCCATCAAATGTCACTGGCCCACTTGCACCAACACCAGCCTCTGTTCCAGCTGCCTCAAGCTTGCTCCCAGCTTCACCTTGGCAACTGGCTTGCCCTCAGTGGAGGCCACTGACCTGGGGGTGGGGGGAGTGGGCCTGCTGAGTGGACAGTCCCCCACCCCTGCCACAGCAAAGAGAGTTTTCACTGGACGTCTTATTCGCCCAAATAAAGGGCCAAAGGCTAAGGGACTCTGGGGGCACAGGGGTGTCTCACTCCTCTCTGGAGGGTAGACAGAAATCTGTTTATGCCAGTAAGGTTCTGGTGAAATTAATACCAAATTCCAGAGGTACAAGTCATCAGGCTCGGGCAGGAGAGGGGCAGAAGGGGAAGTGGTGGGATCTTCTGGTCTTAAAAACCAGACCCCCAAAGACTGAAATATTTTTGAGGCCAGATCTCTCTGTCTCTGTCTCTTTCTCCCCACCCCCACCCCCCACCTCTGGTCAATGATTTTCCCAGACTGAGGTCCAGGCCCACTTTTGTTTTGTGTGATTTCACCCGACAGTCCCAGGTCCCCACTGGAAGCGGTGCTGAAGGCAGGGTTGGGTCGGCACCCTGTGGCGTCGTTGATGGGGGACCTCTGTGGTCCGCAGAGGCTGTCTTTGGAAGCCCAGATTGGGGAGCTAGCTTTGAGCGGCTTTTGGGGAAACCTTGCCCAACCTGAGGTCGCTGAGGCGAGCTGCCCCGACAGCCAGGTAACCCCTGTGCCCGGGGAGACACCGTCTACCTGCCGGGGAGGCCTGACCAGAGCGTTTGGCTGCGCCCTCGGGCCTTCCCTGGCAACCCCGGGGCCGGCGGAGGGTCGTTTCGTTTTTAACGGTGGAATTATTGTTGCTATTAATAAAAATCGCTGACCCAGTAGCCAAGTGGGTTGAACCCCCTACTAAGTGGCTCCAGACGACCTCGCGGAATTTCCCGACACCAAGTGACCCTTCCCCTGGTTCTGCTCAGCAGTGGCGTGGCCCCAAGCCGGGCGTCGGAGGGTGGGGTGCTACCGCTGCGGCGCGCCGGCACCCCGTGAGACGTGAAACATTGATGGGCCAAGCCTAGAAAGTTCCAGCCGCCCCCTCTTGCGGCACCCGCTCCCTCACCCCTTCTGCCCACCGCCTCTGTTTGCTCGTTAAGAGAGAAAAGGAGGTAAAATCCGTTTTATGGGGGAACTTAATTGCGAGCGGGATGCGCTCTCTTTAGAAACGCGTCCTCCCAAATGCTCCCGCCGTCCCATTACCGGAATGGGGACCATTCGGCTGCAGCAGATAGGACTTTCTCCCATTCTTTACTTTTTTATTAGCCAATCAAAGTGGCTTCCGAAAGCTATTTGTGATTTGTGAAAAATAGTATCTTTCAAAATGCTGAGTTGAAGCATCTCCCTCATTTCGCCTTGAATTTATTATTCTAATCTCAACCATAGAGACGGGATAATGCAGCTATTAAGTTGGGGGGCAAATTCGTTTCTCTGGATTAAAAAAAAATTATCGGCAGGCATTTTCTCCCTTCGTTGCAGAGGCCAGGGGACGTGCGGGCCTGGAGGGGAGCTGGGCTGCCAGGGAGGTGGCGTGTCCCCTCATGGGCTCCTTGGGGGAGCCATAGAATTGGGGGAATGAGGCCCGGCCTCTCTCCCCTAAAAGAGATGCCCCCGCGAATGCGGGGCCAGCAGGCTGGAGAGAGTTACCCCGCCCCATCAGAGCGATCTTGGGACAGGTTGTGCCACAGACTGGAGGTGAAATATCCGGTGAGCTGCCCACAGCCCCGTCCTATTCTCCTGCCCATTGTGAGAGCTCAGCTTCGGCAGCCTCGTCGTAATTTTTAACTACCTGTTATAAAATTTATGGGTGGGTCTGTAAAAGAAACGAGGTCCCTGCATCCGGCTGAGGGAACTCCTTCCCTGACTGTGCAGGAAGTTTGGGGAGGGGGTGAGGGACCCCCTATTGGTTGGGGTGGGGCACCCACTTCTGGAAGTCCCCATCCCGGCTAGATGTCCTGTCCAGGGGAGGGCTCTGGGCCTTCAAGTCTCTGGCTGGCGGGGCAAAGGCTCGGGCTAGCTCGCAAATAGCCTCTCAAGGAAACCGATTCTGGGCTCCCCCACACTGTACTCATCACCCCCAAATTAGAGATCTGGTGCTTGAGGGGCTTGGAATGTGGTCTCCAAGGTGGAATTCGGGGAAAGGATAAGGTTCTTTTTTTTTTTTTTTCAGGGACTCCAAGGTGTATCCCAGATGCTCAGACACTGGGAGTTTTCGGTGCAGGGCAGTCGGGTGTACAGTGGGCAGCAGCCGAGACAGGAAAGGCTCCAAGTCACCTTGCAGCCGAAGGAACAGGCTGTGGAACCATGGTCTTGGGCTTTAATTTTGTTTCCAATTCTGAAAATACTGGGAGTAAGTTGCCATCTGAACTTAGGAATTGAGGAGGCCTGACTCTAGGAATGGCCTTGGAGAAAAACGCCATTTTCTCCAAGAAAGGAATTGAGGGTTCTGGAGGTTCCCCCACCCCACCCCCAACTCTCAACCCTGCGGGACTGCCCAGGGCGGTGCCCCCCTCGCTGCTCCTCAGACCTCGGCTAGGTCAGGCTTCATTGCAGATTTGCAGAGGCCTGTCTCTCGGTTCCCTCCTGTCTGGGGTGGGCTGGAGTGGAGGGGGGTTGCCAGGGCACCCCATTTGAAGGATGTTGTTCTCTCCCTAAACACAAAGCTAGGGGCAGGGAGGATGCCCCTTTTCAATCCCTTCACCCGAAGGTTTTCTCTGCCCCCCCATGCCACAAATCTTTGCAAAGCTTCCGACGGTCTCCCCCATCCAACCTAGTTACCCCATTTATTAAGGAAAATATTGAAAATTCGGAGAGGCAGAGGGAAGGCAGCTATCGGGCGCTAGAACCCTCCTTCCCTCCTCTCGCGTTCCCCCCTTTGCCCTTTCCGCGCCAGCCTCGAGCCGCCGGTCCGTGGGGAGTGGGCGGTGGGTGGGGGCGGGGTGGGGGTCCGGGGATGCTCCCTCTCCCGGAGAATTGGGTAAACATGGCGACCGCGGCGCCCATTTGCACACGCTACACAAATGCATCGCATTCCCGGTTGTTTGCAGAAAATTTACAGCTGAGTAATAAAAGTTTACGATCGACTCACAAGTTGGATTGGCCACAAGAAGTCATGTGGATTCCATCCATGAACGTGAACTTTTTATTGTGGTTTGTCCGTTCGGAGCGCTCCGCAGAACAGTCCTCCCTGTAAGAGCCTAACCATTGCCAGGGAAGCCTGCGTCGGGCGCTCCCTTCATTGCCAGTATATATTTTTTTAATTAATCTGATGACTACTTATTTTCTCCCCCCATTTAATTTTTTTCTTCCCAGGTGGAGTTGCCGGAAGCTGGGGGCTCCCGGGGAGGGGGGCTGGGGGGGAGAGGCAGGAGTTGAGACTCTCACTCTCTCCCTTCCCGACCCTCGAGCCCCCCAAGGGGCAAGGGGGAAGCGCGAGCTGGAGTTAACAGGGAGCGGCCGGCGCCTCCGCCCCTCCCCTCTGCGGGCTCGCCCCCTGCCCCCCTCCTCGCAACTCCCTTTAATTTTATTTGGCTTTTTGATTGCTGGGACTGTTCTTTTTTATTTTTGAATTTATATAAAGTATATGTGTGTGTGGAGCTGACACAGGCTCGCAACGGCACAGGATGAGGAAAGACGAGAAAGAGAGAGAGTGGGAGAGAGAGGCAGAGAGAGAGGGCGAGGGAGAGTGACAGCAGCGCCGGTAAGTGTTTCCTTATTGGTTCAAATATGTAACTAATGGTCCGTAGCTGGGTGGCGGTTTCAAGATAAGGACAGCAGCGGCTGGTCTCGGTTAGAGAGGAGAGGGGACTGTGGCGAGGGTGGGCGCGCGCGGTGATGGGGAGGAGATGGGGGTGGGGTGGGTGGGGGAGAAACTGGTTAAGCAGCAGCCGGGGAGTGGGGGCGGTATGCTGTCCTGATGTCACTGTGCGCCGAAGTTGGGGGGCGGGGGGCACAGGCCTGCGCCCGTGGGGCTCGCGGCCAGGGCTCACCGCGCCGACCCCGGCCTGACGCCCACCTTGTCGGTACCTGCTAGAGGTCTGTGGCCTCTAGGCTGTTGGGGCTGGGGCGGAGGGCCCAGAGGCTCCAGCTGCAGGCCAGGAGTGCGAACCCGTGGGCTGCAGCCATTGTCCCCTGAGCAAAGTCAGCCCCCCGGGCCCCCAACAAACTTTCGCGAGCCCCCTCCCAGCCCCGCAGCCCCCGCCCTCCGCCCGCGCGCGGCCGCCTGAGCTCACACATGCGCAGTGCGGGCCCGGGCCGCGCGGCGGAGCAGCGAGGCTG